TTTCCCGAGAGCCCCGATTTCGCCCAGTTGACCTTGGATCACCCTAAAATGAGTCAAAATAGGAGTAATCGACCTTGCTGAGTCGTGTGGTGATGTTTATTTTTGATTTCAAGCCGATCTAAAGTCACTATATCAAGGTTTTCTAATTCCAGCGTTCTGCCGCTACGTTGCATATAGAGCGGATAGTTTGAAAATCATGTTATGTTACTTTAGATCGGTTTGAAATGAAAATTAAACATCACCATACGACTCAGCATGATCGATTACCCCTATTTTGACTCATTTTATGGTGATCCAAGGTCAACTGGGCGAAATCGGGGCTCTCGGGAAAATGCTTATAGCTCTTGAACACAATAAGCTGGCCAGTTCAGCCTTGCGTAGTTTTGTAGAAGACAGTATGGCAAATCGTAGCCACCCAGAAGAATCAAAATCTCTAACTTGCGGGAGGATGTTTTTCCAGAGACCTTCTGGAAATTCCTCGAAGATCTTGGCAAGTCCGATGATTACTACATGCCTAGATACCCCCAGCTGTTGTCAATTCGACGGCGAAGATCCGAACTTGCTAGCTAGTAACGTTCTTGAGTTATTCAAAAAGCAACCATGTTCATTCTTTTTTGAAATGGATAGTAGAGAACATATTCTTTGAGATATGTGTGATGCTTGTTCGAGGCTGCTGATGCAGCTGAAAGTCTCAAATTATATCGGTGATGAGGAGAGGATAGATCTTCAAATTTCGTCCTAGATAACGAATATTCGGTGCAGATTGACTGTTTGGTTAGACTAAACAGAACGAAAGAAGGACATTGGAAAGAGTTCAAAATCGAAAATTAACGGTAAAGTTTGCCTGCCTCTTCGCGGTTTAAGTCGGAAGTTTCTGTATGATAAGCGAGTATCAAACAGAAGAGATATTGATTCTCGACTCAGTCTCTCATTCTGTCGCCTTTCGAACTTCACATAGTGTAATTGGTACTTTAGTCGTCTATAGAATAGTCTTCTTGTAGATAGATTTGTTACTTTCTAATATTTGTTTACATTTTAGATTGAAGTGAAATTTTCTGCGCCAAAGACATCCGGTCAGTATATTTATTCTGTCGTTCTAAAATCCGATTCTTATTTTGATGTCGATGTTACAGAAAATCTTTCGGTAAGTGTTTGTTTGACTCATTCCATAGAAATAAAGTTTATCCTATTCATTATTGATTTTTGTTCGTTTAGCTTGATGTTCAAGAAGTTAAAGAACCGACAGTAATTGAACATCCTCAATGGGACTTTAGTGAAGAAGAAAATGGTCAAAATACAAAAGAAAATGACGATGAATTCAAAACGGAAAGTGATACAGACGATGAATAGCCGATGTCTCATGATCTACTCTGTAGTTGTTATTATTCTTTCAAAATGCTTCTTCACATGTAAAAATATTTGTTTATTTTTCATTTTAAAAAAAAGTATGTATATCGGTTTTCTGAGTGTTGTTATTATTGTTGTTCTTTTCTCTGATTGTTCTACTCGCAATAGGATCGTTGTTGTTCTTTATTTCTTTGTTTTATTTTTATGTGCTTTTTATTCATATAGCTTATCTATAACGAACAGATGAAGGAGTAATCATCAAACGAGATTCACCCTCATACGCTCTCACTTCGGTGATAAGTGATTTATATAAAATCTTGCAGTCATTAATTAAGTGTAAACTCATAATAAAATAACTTTTATCGTTAAAGTGTTGTTTATCTTCTGTTTCATAACTTCTCGTCACTAAAATTTGTTAATTTACGTTCACAAAAAGGACGAAAGCATAAAATGATATATGAATTGTAACTAATTACTTCTTAGTGAATGGCATGGATATCTAATAATACAGTTGTACAGTAATTTTTAGTACAAATTTTTTTAAAAGAAGTTTATTTTTAATATATGATTTTATTAGTTTCATGACCTATTTAGCCATAGTAAGTTAAACCATATTGCTGTACACTCGACCATTGACAAGCAAAGTAAATTATTGTAAACATCGACATTATAGATTAATATAAAATAACAAAACGTTAAATTGGAGAAAATTGAGTATAATCAACGAAGACGGCTTGAAATACAAGCTTGATGCATGCCTAGCCA